AAACTATGTCGTTTTAACCTATTCTAAGTGGATTTAAGGAAAAATTATTGACCTAAACCCTCCCCTCTCATGCATAACTTCCAAAATCAAATTCCTCTTTTTTCAAGAATCATCTCAAGCAGAAACTAGGGTTCCTCTCTTCAAGCTTCAGTTCAAGGTTTCAAGCTATGCTTCCATTTCAAGTATGTGTAATTTCATAAATGGGTATTTTATCACCCATTGAGTCCCAAAGAAACCTCAATTCCTTAGTCTATGATTTCTACAAAAACCTAAGATTTTATGATTAGCAGGTATTTTCAATGTAATTTGGTTCTTTATGAATAACCTTCACTTGCATAATTTTACTTATAATTTCGTATTGTTAAATGTATTTCATGAACCCTCTCAGAGTTAACGTATTTTCATGTCTCAGATTTATGATCTTTCATATGTATGTTTCAGATTATTAGATTTCATAAATTTAAGATGCTTTCAAATAAAGTATCTTCCAACATGACTATCAATTTATCAACATGCATGACCTACTCAATTGATTATCAGTTTATCAGTATAATTCAATATTATCATATTATCACTGTTTTATATTATTTGCATGTTTTCGTAGGGAGTTTACTGCATCGAGCGGACCTTGGGATGAAGGCTCACCTGTTAGTTGAGGAATGAGACTTTTAGTAGCAATTTTTATGCCCCAAAAGTACGTGTCACCGTAGGATTTTAAGGGTCACCCATTAGTTGAGGCCTGACTCCTTATTTTTTTACTTAAATGAGCTTAGTGGATCCGCATTAACTCAGACCAACCTTTATATCTTGGGGAAAAGTATATTAGACCTTTTTGACGAGGGTTAAACATCAAACTCCATATAGTAACTTATATGGTTATATGTCGGTCTTAGTATCTTCCACATTTCAGTCTTTTAGTTATTGCATGACCAAACATTCAGTCATTTAAGTACATCATTTTTTAAAATCAGAAATTCATGTTATTTACTTGGTCAATGCATCAACTTATGTCATTTCAGTCCAGCATACTCAATTATTATTTTATCATGCATGTCTCACATACTCAGTACATTTGAAGTACTAACCGCATACTTTCTTCCTATATTATTTAATAATATTAGTTCAGATGTTCAGCTTTCAGTTACAATTAGTACAAATTTCTGGTCAGCTCAATAGTACGTGTTGGTGAGTCCTCATTTTTCGAGGGCGATCTTATTACTTCATTCGGTATTTCTATGTTTGTTTCAGACATTTAGAATTAGCGAAGGGTTTGTCCTAGCAACTCACCTTAGTAGATGGTTTTAGATAGTTGGTTTAGTTTCAACTTATATTTTATTCAGACATTTATCTATTTGATTTTTCATAGACTATTTCAATTTTAGTTCTGCATTAGTATTTAAGTTATCTTCATATATTTGCTTGTGTATACTCTAGTGTCATGCTAGACCATTAGGTTAGCTTGGGGTCACTTGTGGCTCTAAGCACCGTGTTACAATTAGGGGTAGTCTCGAATCGTGACAAATTTGATATTAGAGCATCTGGTTCAAGTGTCCTTGTCTAAAAGGCGTGTTAAGCATATTTTTGTTCATGGGTGTAAAGCATGTCACATCTATTATTAGGAGGCTATGAAACATTTCTAGAAATACTTCACTTCATTCATATTCTTATCGTGTGAAAGAGTGTGAACTCTTATCAACTTATTTCTAAGTTGTACTCTACACGTTTACAAAATCATGCCTCCCAGAAGAGCGTACCTCAGAAGGAACATGAATGGGGCCTAACCAGCACCACCAACTCCTACAGAACCATTGGCTAAGCAAGTCTCTCATGCCAAGGTTAGGGCTGCTTTCCAAGTACTAGCCCAGACCATGACTTCTAAGGCCAATTGGCATGTTGAGGCCCTATCCAATTCCGAATGAGAATACAGACGTAGCGAGAGTCAGGGATTTCACTCTGATGAACCTTAATCAGTTTCACGATTCGAAGGTGGAGGAGGATCCACAAGAGTTGATTGAAGGCATCCAGAAGATTACTGAGATTATGGGTGTCACTCCAATTGAGAGTGGAGACTTAGCCGCTTACTAGCTGAAAAGACTGGCTCAGATTTGGTACAAACATCGGAAATATGATAGGGCTATTAATGTAGACTGGTTTGGGAAAAGTTTGAGGTTGCATTTCTGGATAGGTTCTTTCCACTTGAGTTGAGGGAAACTAAAGTCTAGGAGTTCATCAATCTGAAGCAAGGGAATATGATAGTGAAGGAGTATTCTTTGAAGTTTACTCAACTCTCTAAGTATTCTCCAACTATGGTGGTCGACTCTGGGGGCGCATGAGTAAGTTTGTCTCTGGTGAAAAAGAGATTGTGGTGAAAGAGTGTAGGATTGCGATGTTGATTAAGGAGAGATATTTCTTTTCTTTTTTATGACTCATGCCCAACAGATCGAAGAAGAGAAAGTTAATGAGAGTGTTAGGGAAAACAAGAAGGCTAAAACAGACAGTGTGGACTACTCTCATTAAAAATGAGGCGGTGGTAATTGCTTTTAGTTTCGTCAGAATTATTCAGGTCCAATTCCATCCTTTGATAGTGGCCTAGTGCCCATGTTTAGATATGATTCCCTAAGTCCTATGGCAGTGTCACTAGTAGTCGCACTTTCCAACTTGTCAGAAGGGTTGTAAGAACCACCCAGGAGAATGTATGGCCGATAGTGATGGATGTTTCAGGTGTGGCAAGACAAGTAATAGATTGAGGGATTGTCCATCGGCCTCAGGTAAGGGCAAGTATGTTCTTTGATGAGTCTGAGATTTCGACTCATTTAGGTCTTTGTTTTTATAGTAGAAGTGTCCTCAAATGCCTATTTTATGCTCTAAACTGATGTTAAAGTGTTGATTTGCAGCTATGAAGGCTAAGGAGCAAGGCAAGGACATTATTGGGCAAAAAGGAACTAACAAGCTGAAGAAGTGAAGAAAAGTGATCTTGGTGATCGCCAAGACCACTCGGCGAACCGCCGAGTGGCTCTTTAGCTCGTCTAAAGTTCCAGCGTGCCAGCCCGGGTGAAGAACCAACTTGGCGACAGGAATGGGCAGTCGGCGAAACGCCGAATGACTTCGCGATGACAACCTTCATCGCCCAAAGTTACAGGACCTGGAGGATTGGTGGCCAATGCAAATTGGCGATGGAAGGGAGCGAAGGGCGGATCGCTGACCTGTTAGGTGAGGCGCAACTTATTCCGCCCAATGACCTTTCAGGCCAAAAATTGGGCAACTATAAATTGAAATTTTAAATGAAATTTGAGGGTGCTCTCCCAGAGTTTTGATCCCCAAGTTAGAGAGTTAGAATTTTCTCTTAGTTTTTGAGTTTCCATTATAGACTTTGAAGATTTCTAAGCCTAATTTTGAGGATTTGCAAGTGGGTTTTTGAACTTAATCAATTTGGAGCATTGTAAAAGCTTGGAGACTTTTACCCAGCTGATGGCTAATCTAGTTGGTAATTGTTTTTATCTTTTTATGATGCTTAACTAAAACCTCAATTCTTGGGGTGTGATCATGGGTTGAATTAGCTTATGGGTATTGTCATTTATTGATTTAAATGCTTAATTGAAGTGGGTTTAATCATTAGCTATGTTTTAATCTATGAATTGTAGTTGCAAATGCAATTCTAAATTAGAGTTCTGGGCTTGCTTGAGAAAGAGGTTTTAGAACCAAAGCTTTCGATTAATGATTGTAGTTGTTGGGTTGATATGGGTTCAACTCGAGAGAGTGAATCCTAAACTGGATTCTACCTATCTAGTTTGAGAAAGTAGATGTATCAAGGTTTTGAGCTGTTTATATTGATAAGCTTGTTGAGGTTCGAGAGAACTCACTTGAATCGTAGTAGCTGTTCGAGAGAAAGCTATTGCACTTATAGTCTAGCCTACCCACTCAGATTTAGCAATTCGTTAGTAATTTCCATATAGCGAAATTAGCCTATAATCGATCACATCCCGAGAATTCCTCTTCATATTGTTGTTTCCCCTATTTTTCATATTTGTTTTAGTTGTTAATTGCAAATCAAAACCCCCCATCTAACATTCGTTGTCAACCCCTTAGACTTGCTTGTATGTTTTCGATAATTTCTATTCCTATAACCACTTAGACCACATTTGTACTTCGTGGGTTCGACACCAACTCTTCGTTGAGTTTTATACTAGATAACAATCGTCTACACCTAGAATTGGAAGTGGTGTAATCTGAGCGTTAATCATTCTTCAGCAGACTCAGCCTGTCGCTTTAGCAGCTCCAGTAGGTCGCCCGATTTAGTAGGGTACCTCATCTACTACTGGTGGTGGACAACGCCAGAACATGCTTAATGCTCTTCAAACTTTGATCGAAGGATTCCCTGAAATTATTTTTTACATGTTATATTAACATATTCCTATCAGATGAAATTAATACTTTTTTTCTTTAATCAAACCTGCTCCAAACCAGCATACTCAACTTTATAATAAAGCATGTAAAGTATTTCATTTGTTCATCACAAAAATAGCAAAATAAGTTAATATTTTATTTGTTCTTTTTTTGTTTGTATTTGCTCATAACAGATTAATTTTATGAGCCAATCAGCAACCTCAGTTTTATTTTTTGTTGTTCTCGAGAAGATGATTCTCCTTCCTCTAATTTTTCCAGAATTAACACTACATGACCATCCAATTAGTAAAAATGGATTACAAGAATGAAGTAAATCAACTGGGAATTTTGTTTCTACATAAATAGTTGAATACAATTACAAATAAATTGAGTAATACTATCTCATATCATCAGCATCTGTGAATTAATTGTGAATGAGAATGAAATATATGAGTGAAAAAAAAACCATAGACGAAGAAAATAAAAGTGGAGGTGCACGTGCAAACGTTAACTTCGAAAAAGATCATGTGTATATATGTATATCTATTTTGAGAAAATGATAGAAAGTAAGATATAATTGACAGTGCACCCATGAAGAGCATATGAGGGCCCTTGTGTCGTTGGTACAAGTCAGGAAATTATATTAGCACTCTGTAAGAAATCAAGTACCATTGGCATGTCAAGCATGCAATCTTAGTGTACAAATGAAACTTGTGAGGGGGAAATTTCAACTAGACTAATACAATAATTACAACTATACTTTATTCCCTTAATTTCACACATACATATATACAGTACCACACACCCAATTGTTTACTAAACTCTCTTATACGTCCAGTAATTTCATCAAGAAAACAAACTCGACATTTGGGGAAGTCTTGGGTTGAGGCCAATTTGCCCCTTCTGGCACTTTGATGATTCTGAAGCCTTGTCCTATATACAGTTTTGTGGCTCCAGGGTTGCTAGTGTCACAATGTAAAGCAATTGCACGGCATCCCCAGCTCCTGGCTTGTGCCTCCGCTTTCATTATGAGCTTTTTTGCTATCCCTTTTCGACGGTATCTTTTCCGTACCGCAACATTTGATATATACGCAATCCCTTTCCTGTAAAAATGATTCATGTTCATCACGGTCATCAAGAAAAAAGTTGTTCATGTTTTGCTTATGATAGAAATCATATTCAATCCGTAACACTTAAGTTAAGAACTATAGGTCTCCATGTGGGTGCCCTTGCTTATTTTTTAGTCACAACGGTGGTGTCCGGATCAACTTGCTCAGCATTTAAGTATCCCCTTGCATACCTGCTACCACCCACCAATACAAGACCAATTGACTCTTCCCATCAAGACTTAGGCAGATGAAAAGAAATCACCTAATATTTTTGTCGCTACTGAAATTTGAACCCAAGTCTCCAAGGTTAACATCCACTTGATTCGTCACTAGGCCACACACTATTGGTGTTCATCAAGTGGTTGTTTAGCTATCAGTATGGGACTGATACACTTCAATGGCTTCATTAACTTTACATCGAGTGAATGTTATGTCAATATTCTATGACTGCAAAAATGCACATAGAGAAGGTAGAACACTAGAATGGTCAAAGCTTATCTCCAAGGCTTATCTCCGAAATCCATTACCAAGTTTTTATTTCTTAATTATGTTCTTTATCCATGCCATTTATTTCCTCAAAAGGAGTAACCGCTACTTATAACTAAGACAAACAACCCGCAACAAACAATGTAAACTCTCTTGCAAGCAAGTAGAGTACTGGCTATTTGAGTTGCCAAAGAGCTACTTGCTTAGAGGGTGTTTGGATTGACTTAAAAGTTGGTCAAACCTACTTTTAAGTCAGTTGTTGACTTCTGGAAGTGTTTGGCAATATAAAAAATAACTTAAAATAAATTAGGAAGTATTTGGCAAGGTTAAAAATGACTTAAAATAAGTTTTAAATGACTTAAAATAAGTTAAAAACCAAAAGTAGGGGGAGTTTTATTTTTGGACTTAAAAGTCATTTCAGTTTGACTATTTATTTATGAATTAAAAGCTACTTTTTAGTATTATAATATAAGTTTTCTGCAAAATTATCCCATATCTTGTCATAAAAAAATAAAATAAAAATTATCCCATATCTTTAGGAATAAATCTATCTTTGCCCTCTAAATACAACTCTGAGCATCAGTTGTCCTTTATGTTTGCAAAACTTGAGCACATATCATCCCTGAAACATAATCTGAGCAGCATTCGTCCTTTAAGTTTGCAAAACTTGAGCACATATAGTCCCTCAAATATAATCTGAGCATCATAATTCATACTTCAATTTTGCAAAACTTGAGCACATATAGTCTTAATGTTAGGAAATTAAGATTTCTCTAGAAACTCCTAAATTGTATATATTTGTAGCAGACAAGTCTTATCGAACATTCACTTTGAAGTTGCAAATGTTGCACACATTTTTGGAAGAACAAATGGCTAGGCTATTCCACTTTTCAAGTTGAATACCCAAATTTGTTCACTATAGCACAAGATCCCAATCAAGTCATTACTACATACATGGAAGGGGCCAACTGGAGTTAAAATTCAGAAGAGGCATTTATGATTGGGAAATAATTGAGTTGCTAGATCTTTATGCAAGACTGCAGTAAAGCAATATTAACCTTCAGGCTGTGGATTGACTTAAATGGGGGAATTATGGTGGAGGTATCTACACAGGTTCCGGTAATCATATGATTAACAGCTGGCCTTGGAAACTCATTTGGAGAACCAAGCTGTCCCTAAGGTTATTTGTTTCACCTGGACAGCTTTATATGAGGCTTGCCTCACCTGGGATAATCTGATATAAAGGAACTTCCAGTTTCTAAGAGATGCTACACGTGCTAAAAGGAAACTGGATGTTTGGGTGTACCAACAGAGATAGAATTAAACATAAGGATATCCGAGACAAGGTGGGGGTGACTTTGGTGGAGGACAAGATGCGGGAAGTGAGGTTGAGAAAGTTCGGGGATGTGATGAGGAGATGTACAGATGCCACAGTGTGAGGTGCGAGAAGTTGGTTATGGATGGATTCAGGAGATGTAGAGGTAGACCAAAGAAATATTGGGGAAAGGTGATTAGACAGGACATGACATTGTTGCAGCTTACTGAGGACATGACCTTATAGATAGGAAGGTGTGGAGGACACGCATAACAGTAGAAGGTTAGTATGTACGAGCGCGTCCCTTCTAGTAGATAGGAGTGCCTTGTCTTGTGCCCTTACTGGTAGTCGTAGAATTACTCTTGTAGTTTCTTGTTCTTCGATTTATGTGACTATCTATTATTTCGTGTAGTTTCTTTGTAGTATTATTTTGTTATAATAATCCTATGTTACTGTGTGCTGTTTTTGTTACTATTTACTGTCTATGTACTTCACTACTTCTATTATGTCTGTTCCTAGTCTGTCTTTGTCTTGAGCTGGGGGTCTATTGGAAACAACCTTTTTACGTCATCTTTGAGGTAGAAGTAAGGTTTACGTACACACTACCCTCCCAGACCCAACTGTGTGGGACTATACAGGGTATGTTGTTGTTGTTAGTGTTGTTAGATTGTCTTCTACAACACTTGAAGACAACAGAATAGGTTTCACATTTCTGAGTCAGTCTCTTTGTCGGTACAAAGAGAGTGCACCACAGTAACTGAAAAGTTCTTAATCTCCAAAGTTTCTACATTTCAAAGTAACCTCAAATATGGTCATCATAACTTAAATCCTTACCTCGTAGCTATCCTATTGCTATGTATCATGAGTTTGTCAGATCATCTCTAAAATGACCTATCAACAATACTAAAGTTGGAAAGTTGATTTGGCAGTATCTGTGAATCATAAAAGCAGTAGCTTTAGCTAGTCGGACACCAATTTGTTAACCCTTTAAGACAGTCATTCATCCAGATGTAACTCAAAAATCAAAATAGCTAACTACTTATTCTATGACATAGATCTACAGCCAATTTCTGCCAGCTTGATTTATTGATTAGTACTATGGAATGGGAAGAAGAATCACTTCACTCAATAAGCAAAAGAGGGAGTATTGTTGAAAATTAAGAGCAAGCCTTTAAAATCTAAGTGGTAATGGAGGTATCCAAGGAGACTCAAACTCTCTGGGGAAAATGTGATCAAGATGAAGTATGGGGAGCTGGATTGTTGGGTTACTAACTACTAAGGAGGTCAAGAACCCCTATGGTGTGACATATGGAAATCTATTAAAGCTTTGCGGCCTTTCATAAAGAGACACGCTGTCATCAGACTACATAATGGTAACAAATTAATCTTTTGGAAAGATAAATGGCTGGGCAGCAGGAGTTTGCAAGATATATTTCCTGACCTGTTTGCTCTGGCTCAACACCAGAATAAGACAGTGATTGAGATGTGGTCATCTCAAGATTGGAAGTTGTCCTTCAGGAGATTGATGAATGATTGGAAAATACCCAGACTGGCTGAACTCTATAAGCATCTGGAAACATTCCAAGGCTACAGAATGGACAAGATTGCTTGTGGTGGACTGGACTCAACAAGTGCCTGTATAAGGTGAACTCAGGTTATAAGATCATGAATATGACAGATTCATGGACCTTCAACTAATCTTGGAAGCATATCTGGAAAGTTAAGACTTAAGATACCCCATAAGGTTGCTTGCGTTATATGGCTGTACTAACACATGAAAATCTGATAAAGAGAGGCATTTCTTTAGCCTCAAACTGCTGCCTATGTGGGCCTGAAGCTGAAACAATGGAAAACCTATTTCTGCATTGCAGAATTACAGATCAGCTATGGAAGATTTTTCTCAATCTCAGAGGCATCTCTGGGACAACACCTAGTAAGATTGTTGACAATCTTTTTAGCTGAGAAGGAGGCTGTAATTGGGGCAAGGACCAGAAACTATTGGAGGATCATTCTAGTTTGCATATGGTGGACCATATGGAGAGAAGGGAATGCCAGATGTTTTGAGGATAGGAGTAGCACAATACAGAAGATCAAGCATAACTGTATTCTGTTATTTTGTTTTTGGTGTACATAGAGCTTTTCTGAAGATACAGAAACAATCCTAGAAGTTTCCATTTCATATTATGATCGTATTCGCTTCAGTTTTTTTCTTTTTGTTACTTTTCCTTTTAATTTTTCTTTTGTAAAGGGGTTTTTCAGTACTACCTAAGTACTGGTTATATTACAAAGTTGTTTTTTTTAAAACTTATTACAAAGTTGTTACTTGTTCAAAAGAAGAAAGAGAGAGAGTGTTGTTGAGGAATGGAACAGAAAGAACACTTCATAAGGCTCCATCAGGAATTTTCCATGACTGAAAGTCTGTACAGGTCAAGGATCAACTCCAAATAGCATCAGTGTATTGAATATCATGACAGACGGTATTTTGTATTCCATATTTCCATACAGGAAAAAACTAATTTACAATCCTTAAGCATTTAAAGAACCTGAACATGCCTAAACTGGTATTGTTCTTTGGAATTATGGCCAATTAGAAAGCTCTAGAGATTCCTTAACAACATGACCCTAGACAAATTGAACAGTAATTTTTTTAATCTGGAAAGATATAGAAAGGTAAGCACTGCAACACGATTCGAACTGACTTTTTAAAACAAATTTGAATCCACTTGACCATCTTTCCAACTCGCAACCTTTTTTAAATTGTATATGGAGTAGAAATTTGTAATGGTTTACCTTCCAACATGATGTTGAATGAGTCTGATAGTAATGATTAGCAAGAAACTAGCCTTTTATGAAAGAGCCATTTATTAAAATATCTCCAGATTCCTGACTAGAATCCAAGACACAACTGACCTTCTCTGCCGCAATGGTCCTTTTCTCGGAAGGAAATCAGCGACAGTATCCACGGTCAATATTCCAGTCACGTAACCCTTGTTGAGACTTAATCGTCCATCAAATCCTCCAAGTTTGAGTTCTTCTGTACCTAATAAGCAAGCCTCTTCATCTCTGCTGCCAACAACAGCAACAAGACAATTTCTCTGGCATCCATTTGGGATGGAGAATCCAAAAAGCATTGCTATCAGCCTGTCAATTCTTAACACAAAATCTAGAGGGAAAGAGTATTCAGGGAAGAAGGAGCTGCAGTGAGTCTCAGCCACTTCCCAGCAGTCCTCTAACCTGGCCTTCCTAACATAAACCTCAGGTGATACAGTTGGAAAAAGCTCAGCAACTTGACTGGCCCTACATAAACCTGTTAGAGAAAAGAAACCACTCAATTAGACATAGAAGAATACGATAATCCTAAATTACATGGCAAAACCAATTGAGAATAATGTAACACAAAAAAAAGGCACAAGATATTGCACCTCCCTGAGTAACTTGCATCAGTTGCACTACATAGATATTCTTTCCATTTCTAAAATAAATAAATGTGGGGAAATGGACCAGGCTCAAGCTGACACCTGGTCATGTTTCATCAAGTCATCCTTTCCCATTACAAGACAAAGCTTAAGGATATTTTTCACATGACCATACTATAAATACTCCCAATTGATGAGATGGGACACTATTGCAACTCTGACACAGTCATAATTTTTTTTGTGAGAAAGAACTCTGACACAGTCATAATAATTCCACATTTCTTGTAGCATAACTTCACCATTAGAGCCCTCCTTGAGGATATTCCACAGAGCTTTCTGTTTACAGGCTACTCATATACTCATCAAGGACCCGGCATAATCATCCACCCAATGGCACTTGTAACATTAGCAAAGAACTATAACCCATTTGATTTTTCTTATGTTTCATTCTTAGCTTATGAAACTCCTAGAAATCTTCAGGGTAGTCCATTCTCCAGCACTGCGAAGTGCTGACTAATGCCAAATTCAGTAACATCAAAGAGTTCTGGCTTAATCCAAAGTTCTTAGTCCTCTTGCGAAATAAGTTTCTAAGATTACTTTTACTGGGCAAGAAAAAGGAATAAAGTTTCCAAGATTACTATATGCTAGCCGTCAATCATCACATTTGTGTATGTGCTGGTCTTTAGAAATTTATAATTAACACTGGAAGGTTCACCCGATATGTCAGAAGCCAACTAAGTGCCCATTTGGTCATGGATAGTTTTCACTTTTTTCTGTAATATTATTCCAGAAAATTGTTTGGGCATAGAATTGTTACAACTTTATGGAATTCGGAAAACTCCAAAAGGCTATTTTCACAATTTTCATTCCAAATGACTCGCAAAAATCCAAAAACAACTCCAATCCATATTCATGTCCAAACACAACTCCAATTTTCAAATACAATTTTCAACTTGAATAACAAATACAACTTCTTTCCAAAGTTCACCATTCTTATGTCCAAATGTGCACTAAGGCAAGCATTCCCCGAAGTTGCAAAGGGACTTCCATAGGAGCTGATACAGAAAAACCTTTTGTGTAAGATTCAAAATGGTGAATTGAGGTAGACTATAATCCATGCACGCCAAGCCAAGCTAAGGGGTTCAAGAGCTTCTCATCAAGTCACTACGTCGGGGGATTGGAATGAAGGTTTGAGGCCCAATAACATGCTCTTCACACTTCAAGGAAGCTCAAGTACACATCTTTAGTCTATACTCTCCTTATCATGAAGATGGGGCACTTGAAGCTCATGGAAGGTCGACACATGATGACCTTCAAGATTTTATTTTTTTTGATAACCGAGAAATCCGTCTGTGACCCGCCCTTTGGACCAATCACAGCCTTCTAAACTCAGTGGATAATGGGCCCGCTCCGCTACCCTTCTCCACTTAAATACCAAGCTTCGCTTTGCATGGTGTGGGGCTTGAACCTGCGACCTAAGCCACTAATCCTCCACCTTTTGCCACTTGAGCTAGGCCTTTTGGGCACCTTCAAGATTTGAAAGATAGCTTGGATGGAAGATTCCACTTGAAAGACTACTTAGACCACAGAGAAAGAGGTCACTTATGCAAAAGTGGCTATTCTTAAGATACAAGTCATCATGCCTAAGAAGACTAAGAAGATTATTATTTCATTAAGCATAGGCTATAAAAGTGGAGAATAGCTCCTTTACACTTGGATTATGTTGGATGATATGAAAATTTACTTGAATAATGATGCTCTTGAGAGAGTCAGGGTAAGGCAATTGTTGCTTGACTTTATTTGATAGATTGCTTGCAAGAGGAAATGATTCTTCTTAAGAGTTCATCTTATGGTATAGGTGTTTGTTGGATTCCATTTATTGGGGGTTTTAGCTTTCGATAGCTATTGTTGTCAATTGATTCGTATCTTGTTTTCGACTAGATGGATGATTCTCTAGTCGTTTTGCTTGTGTTTGAAAGAAAAAGCTAGCCAAGGAGATGTTCTCTAGAGTAGTTAGTCCTCTAACAAAGGATACAAAAGCTCTTCAAGTGTCTGTCTCCTGTTTCATTTAATTGTGAGATTATTCTAGCTTCCCCATATTCGGGTGTGTAACTGATACAATGAGCAAGAAGTTAACAAAGATTTGTCCTAGAAAAGCTAGCTGGTAAGCAAGTTCAACTCTTACAAATGAATTTTGGGCATAATTAGTAACCTATCCTAAATATTTAGGAGTCTTTTGGTTTGAATACAATTTCTGATGAGATTAGTTACGACGGAATAAGTTATATTGGAATTAATTATAATGAGATTAGTTATGCTGAGATTATTTATTTTTGATTTGTTGTATTCAAAATAATAGGCTCTAATTTTAAGAACAAGTTATATTTAAGGGAAAAGGGTTCGAAATTTATCTGAACTTTGACCGAAATTGTTGTAACAATCCTAAACTTTGAGCAGGACCTAGGTAGTATAGTAATCCCGGAATAAAATAGGTTAATGACAAAGTATCCCTTTAAATATAGGGAAAACTGTATGAAATATATCCGAACTTTGACCGAAAATTGCTGCAACAATTCCAAACTTTGGGAAGGATCTTTTACCCCTGCACTATTTAATAGTGTATTTTAAAGATATATATGTGTCCATGTGAACATCATAAATATTGCATCATTATAAATAGTAACTTGTCCACGTGAGCACATATATACCTTTAAAATACACTATTAAATAGTGCAGGGGTAAAAGATCCTTCCCAAAGTTTGGAATTGTTGCAGCAATTTTCGGTCAAAGTTCGGATATATTTCATACAGTTTTCCCTATATTTAAAGGGATACTTTGTCATTAACCTATTTTATTCCGGGATTACTATACTACCCAAGGAAGGATAACTTATCCCAGCACTAATTATTAATCACAGGATAAGTATCCGGACTTACCAACCAAACAATAAATTAAATGAGACTATAATTTTAATCACAGAACTATTTAGTGTTATCCTTCCCCCTCCCTTTAAGGTTTAGTTTAGATAATTTAGCAGTAGCAAGTTTTTGCTTCTTTTATCAAAACAAGTAGAAAGAAAATAAAGAGAGAGTATGAGAACTGTTAGGCACATAACAAAAACAATCAAGTGTTATAGATTTAGATAGTAATAGTAATAGTAATAGAAAAATGTAGAAAAGGGAATTGGACCTGATGTTGAGAGAGAAGAGAAAGATTTTGGAGAAGCCTTGAAATTGGAAACAGGAAACCCAAATGGGATCTTGATACCCAGATTCAGACATGTCCCTCCAACTGCCATTTTATGTACCTTCTCTCTTCCCTGCTCTACACATCTATCCTGTGTGGAAGGTAAACGCCTTTTATTGCCATTTCTTTTCTACTTCACCTTCTTATTATTGCTAACTCTTTTAAAAACCCCTCGATCTTTACCTTTTTTTAATATTTAAAAATTAATTATATAATAAAAACAAATAAAATTATAGAAAAATAAGTAAAAATGTACATAGAATTGAGTCATTGACTAAGAAATACTCAAAACTTTTTAGACTTTTTAAAATATTATTCTAATAGAAATTCATAAATAAATAAAAAAAAGAAGAAACCTACTATCAAAAGTATCAAATAAACTGGTGAAGGATTATGTGTTTTTGTGTTGTAATTCGCACATGGATAATTTTTTTCCTTAACCAATGAAAGACAAAGAGAGAGAACAAAAATTAGGGCTAAGAATGAAATATATTTTATTTTTAAATTTTCAAACTTCTTAAAATTGTGCAAAAGGCTTAAGTATCCTATTGAACTATGACCAGAATATCATGGACACCCTCCATCTTTATAGGGGTCCTATTACCACCTAATCTTTATTTTTTTTATTTTTTTTTGCAGAGTTTTTGGCTAAAATCATTCCTTAACTATGACTCAAATCTAATGTACATTCTTATATTATCTAAGTGAGCAAAAAACATGCTTATACTATCCAAAAAATAACAAGAATCACCATTATGTCTATTTTTTGTTAAGAAACTGATTGAACCAATACAAAAAATATTTTTTAATTTGGTCATGTCTTAGCCACGACGAGAAGATCAAAGTTACCTAAAAAGAATAAGGATATGGATAGGAAATGAATCTTTCATTTTCAGAATTTAAATTTTGTGTGTTGTTAGTTTATCTGTTTTTTGCATCATCAAGTAAATTGACTTGCAACAATACGTAAGTTTTGAAATATTTATACAGTAGGTTCCGATGGTTAGAAAGATTATGCTAAAAAGTTCATCTTAAAAATATTACGTCCAACTATTTAAAGATTTTCTTTAATAAAATATTAGTACGTATGTTCGTTATATACAATGCAATTCACATTTTATACAATATACAGAAATGCTGGAAATTTAGTGAAATTACGTAGGTGTTTAGTTATGAAAATAAAAATAATTACTTTCTTTGAAATTTTTGAAGTTGTGATTGTATTTGGCGATACTTTTAACAAAGAATATTTAGAATTTGAATCTATTTTATATGAAAATGATATAAATCCTCAATTTGTAAGAATTTGAAAATCACTGACTTGACTAGCTTAACCATGTGTACATATATTCATTCGACTTGACAAATTCTTTTGTCGGTGGCGTGAGTTTCTTAAATAAATAGACAGAAGGATAAATCTTGCAACTTTTTGGATAATGCAGGGATGTTTTTTTGTTCACTTATATAACACAAGGATGTACTTTAGGTTTAAGTCATACTCCAGGAATGATTTTAGCCAAAAACTCTTTCTTTGCACCTTATGTGAGAACATGGAAGTACAATTCAATTGAATTAGTTCTGGTGATATACATGCGCCGCTATGTGTATATATGTCTGTTTTAAAATATATAAAAAATCTTCTTATTTTCTTTGTCTTGTATTTAAATTTTTCTCAAATACACATAACTTTTAAAATATTCTTTACCTTGTCATTAAAATTTTCTCAAGCACACATAATTTACTATTACTATTACTATTATTATTATTACTATTATTATTATTATTACTATTAGTATTAGTATTATTATTATTACTATTATTATTATTAGTATTATTATTACTATTATTATTATTAGTATTATTATTACTATTATTATTATTATTA